GTGTGTGTGTGTAGCGTACTTGCTGTGGTGCAGCGGGACACGAGAGGCGCTGCTCGTGTTCTCTTGGTCTGTGTCGGTGTCTTCGAAGCTCGAGGTCTTCTTCAGCTTGGACGCCTTTTTCTGCAGAACAGAGTTACACGGTGAGGGACAGTGTTGATAAGGAAGCTCTCTTCATGTGGAACACGCCTCATGAGATGACGAGTGACAGCACAACGGGGTCCTAACAACGTCTGAGGATGCTGCACACCTTTGATAAAGTCTATAACCTCAGTCAGCACTTGTATTCATTTGTCAGTGTTGTCATCACAGACAGAGGAGGAGCAAAGAGAGGAAAAACCAAAAGGCCAACCTTGCGTTTAGAGAAGCTCCCCATGAAGGTGCGGCCGGTGCGCTTGTTGCTACTGGGGTTAGCTTCGTCTGCTGTGTCCGTCCCATCCTCACTTTTACCCTGACAGCAGAGGACAGACATGTTTTCTACGTAAGACTTGCAAGTGAAAGGAGACCAAGTACAGAAATCAATCACTGTGATCTTATGTCCATGCTCCTGCCACTGGCTGCCCTGGATGTTCAGTGAAACAAGCTGATGTCAGGTGTTGGCCCAGCAGGACTCCTGTCTGCATTTACCTTGGTACCAGCTTTATCGGTGGGCTTCCCAGCAGGAGGGAGGGCGGCGATGGTGAAGCTGTCTGGGTCTTCTCTGTCTCGGATCTTGGACTCCTTCATTAGGTTGTCCAACTTTTTCTTGGCCATGTTCTCCACCTGCTTCCTATTGGCTGATGTCTGGAGGAGGACAGAACAGGTAGATGGAGAACGGTGACGACAGGGCATGACTACAGGTCACAGCAGGTCGGGGTAACTGTGGACTGGTCATGGGTGGGAGGAGGCATTGTTCATCTTCCACGTTTTGCCCTTTTCTCCAAAACTGAAGATGATTTATTTTGGTAAGCAGTTGTCTCCTATAACAGGATGTGATAAAGCTGACAGGAGGTCATAAATCTGGACAGTCTGAAACCAGCTACAGTCGTGAACAACAGTTGAGTACAGACCATGTGCATCGGGGCAGTTCACAGTTCACAATGACTCCCACAACTCCACATTTTCTACGATGGAATCATTCAAACACAAAAAACAACTGTGCATTTGGCTCTGTGACTGTTCTCTTTGTTGTTTTTGTACCTGAGGATTAATTTTGAAAAATAAGCAGGAACGTAATTGATAATTAAATGAACTGTTAATTGAAGACGTAAAATACTGAGTGACATAATTAAATCTCAGTTCTTTGGTCCTAAAGTTAGTCAAAGCTCAGCGTTTGCACTCAGTCATGATTGTAGCTGAACAGTGAAACATCAAAGTGCTGCGTCACTGAAGCTGAACTACCAGGAAGCCACAAGACAACTATTACCTACTTATTTATTCAGTTAAGCATTTTGGTCTGAGGTCCAACAGCACAACACAGACGGGACGAGTCTGTTCTCCTTCACTCTAAACAGATAAAGATGAAGCTGATGGTTTTGTTGCAGAACCTTCCAGACCATGTGATGATTTTAAACGTCAGTAACAGAAGTCATTCCAGATGTAAGAGCATGACATGAAGGATGGAGATGTTTCTGTTGATGTGTTAAAGAGTCAGTTCGCCCAGTATCCTCCAAATGGATCTACAGTTTTAACGGGAGACCAAGAATCGGTCAAAGCACCCCCCTGTAGAGGATTCAGAGGAACAAGACACAACTTCCTGAAAAGGTGGACACCAACAAAGGCAGGACATACGTTCTACAGTCTGGGTGAACTGAACCTTTAAGATAACCATCTTTCTTTCTTCCAGGTTCTTCTCTGGAAGAATGCTTAGATAATTAGATCTTACCCTCGTCGGACCAGACTGGGAAAAAATAAAAATAAAATCATGCTGAAACTGACTTTTCATATAAGCAGCAAAGATGCAGAGAGAAAAAAAAACAACGTCCCAACTGGTTGATAACATTTCTACATGAGGACATGACGGCAGAGACAGGAGAACATGTTAGATGGTTATACAGTTAAATATAAGTGTTTGACTGACATCTGAGGTTAAAAAGAGGTAAATGCCCAGCAGCACATGAAAGTCAGTCTATTCTTCCAACGCACTGTTACTCTTTTAAACATTTTATTAACCTGATCATATGACTGCATGGTAAGAAGCAGCAGTAAAGCACCATGTACAACAGACTGGGCCACCCAGCTCGTCAGCAGGGACTCTAGTGACGAGGTCTCCTCCTGACGACTCCTGGTCAACGGTACTGATTCTGCACAGCAGACGGTTTACCGCTGCTCCTGTCAGCTGAGGCTCCCTGCAGCTCCTCTACAGTCATGCAGGAGTGTTTGTATCTCACTTTAAAGCAGATGAACACTTATATCTACATACAGCCACCCCTGCTTTGTATGCATCAGGTAGCTTGATTTCAGATCCTGAATCAGCTGCTGTGGTTGTTGAGTGTGACCAGATGTGAAGTCAGAGGATTAACCGCCTCGGCGCTGCCACCAGGTGAGAACCGACCTACCTCAGTCCTCACCAGGTAAAGACCTTTTAAACCTTTGCTGGGTTTTGCAGATGCTACAAGAACTGTTAACTTTTTTAAAGTCTTTTCTTTTGACAATCTTTTATTTTGTTGATGAAATAAAAAGCACCAGTGCGTGAACATCTGTAGAGAGACTCTTCTTCATGTGCGTTTGCTGGAGCGCTTGTATTTACCGCTTTTCACTTCAACAGTCACCAAAGTGTGTCATTAGCCAGAGGGGGGCTTTAAGTTACGCAACAGGCGGCACGGATGAAGGGAATAAATGAAAAGACATTCTAATTGAGAGATGACTGCACAATGCTCCACTCAGAACCATATGCACATGCTCAGTTCAGCCACAGGGTGGCGCAGTGTATCCATGAGCCACTGCAGTGAGCAGACCACGATGTGCTCAGCTCACATGTCACTGCACACACAGGGGCTGGACGTTTTTAAATGAACAATGTAGTCGAGCTCGTCTCGTCCTTCTAATCTGGTGGAATACTCAGTCCCTGCAGAAATAATAAATGTTGGACGTAGCAGCTGGACCTGCTTGTTGAAGACGTTCCACCTTCATCCAGGAGGCTTCATCAGCTCTGACTGACCGGTTGGGAGTTCCACATACTGATATCCTGAAGGAGACGTTAACACCTGAGTTTGGGTTTTAATTGGGGGTCTGTTGCTCCTCCCCCTCGTTATGTGGGTCGTTAGTGCTCCCCCTGACACAGTGGGGTTCGTTAGGGTCTCTGTGGCTCGGTGTGGATGTGGGTTCATCTTCCTGGGGAGAGATCTGAGGACTGAGCTGTAAACAGGTGATGCCTCAGACCTCCACCTCTGCTGACGGATGGTCTCTCCTGTTAGACGGCTTCTTTCACCCGTCTCTCTCAGACCATCTGTCCTCCCTGCAGGACAACATCTGGACGCTGTTGTCTTGAAATGAGTGTCCTGAGTTAAATGAGGACAAAGGACCCTCAGGTGTCTCCTTCACGATGTCAGCATGTGGAACTCCCAACCAGTCAGTCAGAGCTGATGAAGCCTCTTGGATGAAGGTGGAACGTCTTATACAAAACAAGTGATCCATCTTCACTACTGTAAAATCCATCCAACTATTTCCAGATGTTCTCTGTTCATGATGTGGATGTTGGTTTCCAGATATCCTTACACAACTTATGTGACGGAGCCTTTCTGGGCCTGTCACCCTAAACTGTCACAGGCGTGGTGAGAACAGTGTGGCACATGACGATGAGGGTTCTGAGGCGACTGAAGATGAGCTTTATATACAGTACCTTCCACTTTGAAAGAAGCAAGCAACAGTTGAACAGAGGAAGACAGAAGACACAGAGGAAGAGAGAAGAGCAGGGGATGAGAACAAAGCCACACAGAAAGGAGACAACAGCAGACAGCAGTATCAGAGGTTTACATCAGGACCAGGTGCAAGACAGGAGAGGAGAGCTCCAACAACAGCATGTATCTGCACAATCTGCCTCCATCTGCTGCACACAACACCTGTCAGAAGCTAGAGGCCAGGCGGGTACATACATCTCCATTCATCAGCTTGCAGTCGTCCTCCATCTCATCAGCGCTGTCCTCGTCCGAGACGTCTCCCTCCTCTGCATTCTCATCGATGTTGGGGGGGAGCTTCTTCCCCTGTCAGAGGAACAAACGAGTCAGTGGAGAAGAGCTGCAGCTTCTACTGGAGGTTCAGGAAGAAGATGATGTCAGGTGGGGACACTCAGTGCCATAGGACGTTCAGACACTGGACATGCTCTGTGATCACAGCATCAGGCCCGTTCCCATCCTCTCACTCACCTCTAAATGTAAACCAGGCAAGAGGTCTGAAGTTTGTCTACCAACAGCCAGTGAGCATTACCAGACAGGAGCCTCAAGCTGAACTAAGAAGATCTGCATAGTTTTAAAGGTTAAGAGTCACACCAGGGCTGGAGGAGATCAGCTTTTATAGAGCAGTTTAAATAAAGGCAGGAAAAGCTTCAAAACCTAAACAACAACACAAACTAACAGCATCAGCTCTGTTCAAACACATGTTCATGCCACTAAACCCAGACAGCTTGACAGCCAGAGGGCCACATGTCCATCAGTCTGAAGCTCTTCTGTCCAGCCCTGCATGTTCTTTTTATTGCAACAGGTTTTCTGGAGATGTGAGATCCTCGGCTGGTTTTAGGTTCTGTCACTTTGGACATGTTGAACAACCTTATCCCTAAAACGTAAAGGTGACTTAAAAAGCAATATATTCAACACACAGATCCGATCAGATCTCTAGGAGTGATCGTCTCTCCTCTGCTGTACTTCTGATGAGTGGACTGCTGGTTCCCAAAGGACTGGTTGGTTTCTGTGATGTGACCGGCTGCTGGATCCTCCTGACAGTATATCTGAGACTCTCTCCCATCTGCAGCCTCTGATCTCAGCACTAAACCCTCACAGACTTAACCGACGTCATACCTGTGGAGCTCGTATTTGTGTGAGATCATGAAGGCGCGCTGTATAAAAGAAGGAACAGACACACGAGTGCTGCAGCTACATGGTGCTCAGAAACAACAGGAATCCAGACTTCATGTGCCTTTAGACCTGCGGTTCAGCTGGCCACTCCCCGTTTATGACATCACAGCGTTTCTACAGTCTAGAAAAGTCCAAAAAGCCACGAACACCTGGAAATCCCAGGTAGACGTTTACCTGAAAATACAAAGTCAAACAACACAAATGCAAACTCCACAGAAACATGAAAAAAAACCCACAACAGCGAGCAGCCAGATGCTCACAGATCACCTTCAAAGCAGATTTCTTCCCGACACCATGCATGCCTCATTTGTGAGCAGCTACAGACGGCAGGAAAACCACACGTATGAACTTTGGGTAAGTCTGTCAAGAAGTTGTGTAGATATTCAGAAGAAGCTCACAGGAGCAGGATGCATGGCTTCAGCTGCTGGGATCCTGCTGACATGCGGACCTCTCTCCCTGCCTGAGCGATGGACTTTTCATAAACTAGTGAGGTAACTGAGCCGCGGTTAGCAGTCACTCTCCATTAACGTGTCACATAAAGAGGGTCTGCAGCAGCTCACGCTCTGGTCCCCACCAGCACTGAGGCTGCGCTGCCTGGCTGATGCAGGACAGCAGGAATGCTAACGTGGAGCGCATCAGTGGTCCTCACAGTGCCTACTGGTGCCATCACTAACACTGAGCTGAGTGGACACACAGGATGGTGCTGGCATCACAGCTGGCTGAGCAGCCTTAGTGTGCCCGGTACTGGCAAGGTGCCGTCTCTGTAGTGAAGCATCTGGTGTCAATAAAGCCTCATTAAGCTCGACGCTGTTCGCTGCCCTGCCAACAGCAGGCTGCTGTGTCTGCTGGTTAAAGCCACGAGTGAAATCAAGTTTACTTAAACAGTTTACATGACAAAGTGCGTACCTGGTCAACCTGGTCAACGGTTTGCAACAACCTACACCTGGTGGCACATGAAGACAGGTGTAGCTGCAGCTACACAGAGACCAAGTGAAGCTGCATGGTTCTGTTTCAGCAGCAGGACATCACAGTCAAGTGCTGACGCTGCAGTCAGGCACCGACGAGCACAAACCTCATCCCCCACACAGAGCACATGACTCAGGTAGTCCTGGTGCAGTGGTGCCCATCAGAGGTTAGGGTTAGAGATGGTGAGTCAACCTCAATGTGCAGCTGTGAAGACCTGACCCGCTTTGAAAGGAACCAGACTGGTACAGTCGGATGACTTCCAGGGAGCACATTTGAAATAGAAAAGTGCAATTAAATACCAACTTAAAGCAGCTGGATGGGTGTATGGCATGCTCTTTATTTCTGTCATACTAGACTTTATGACGTAGTCATCTGGAAGCACATTGTTATCTGAATTATAATAATAAAAGTCACTGAATGAACTATAGATGTTAATGATTATCAGGTAATCAATCATTTAGAATTTAAACATTCTCCACAGAAAAGACAAAGGTGAGGAAACGTATTGTACATTAGTTGTAAGACGTCTTCCTGCTTGTGGAGTTACAGGAGAAGGTCCGACCTGTCAGCTCCAGACCAGCTGAGGTGTTCCCGTCCTGTAACCTGATGGCACACCGACCAAGCTTCTGCAGTGTCACATGTCCACTAACAGAAATAATTACATGATAACAAACATCCACTGAATTCATCCTGCTTCAGCCCTTAAACGGTTAAATCTCTGAATTTAATCTCTGAGGGTCTTTAAACATGCTGGAGGTTAACAGTGAACACATCAGCAGCTGTTGCTGTGTGTGTAGGAGCACAACCACCAACAAAAACACCTGCAATAGAAGAACATGATGAACACTCAGGAACCTGGCTGTGATATTTGACACGAAGCTTTAGTACAAAAACACATTCTGACAGAAGTTTAAACCTGTTTTTATGGACTGAGGAGCATCTAAAGGATCTTTTCTCTGACGACCGGATCTTAACGAGGGCACAGAGTCAGATCATCATAATTAACTGTAGTCAATGAAACATCTCATACCATCAGCTGGGACACAATGCTCACCTATCACCTACTGTAAGAAGATAAGATCACAAAGCTTCTCCTTTAGCCTCACTCTGAAGCTCTCTGGTAGATCACAGCTCCTCAGATCCTGAGGCTGCACTGGTCCTCAGGCAGAGCTCTGCAGGTCATTCCTGTCCTAGCTGAAGACCAAACCTCTTTTATTCAGGGGTCCTCAGCTGCTGCAGAATCTTTGACATTGTTTAATTAAATGTGTTATTGTTGTTTTTTAATAATTAACTTGAGCATTTTGTTTTACTAACAGTGTGTCCTCTCTGTCTTATTTAAGATCATTTATTGTTTTCCTTCTTTTCAGCTGATTGATTTGATTCTTCTTCTTGTGAAATGCTCCAACCCTGCTGAACGCCTCCATAACAGCCTGAGCTTTTCATTTCTACCGTCAGGTTTTGTTTTTCTTCTCCTCTTCCACGTGTCAAACCCTTTCTAATCCCAGAGCTTCGGCCGGCCTGCTGTCTCCTGCCTTTGAAGTTGCTCTGTGAGGTTCAAACCCAGATAATAACACAGAGAACTGAGATAACTGCCTGAGGACCTCGCACCAAGGAGAATCGCTCACTTTTTAAATGTCTAAAACATACGTTGGAGTGCTCTCCAGTACATCCACGGTCTGGCGTTACCTTCACAAGGATCTTGCCCCTGAGGGTTTCTGGCGATGGCAGACGTCCGGACTCATCGGCTTTGATGCTGGACACGTCCAATTTGTCCCCCAGAATCTCAATCAGGTACTGAGCCATCTTCTTTTGCTGAGGAACGCTGCAGTGGTTCTCTATGGACAGGATGACTGGGTAGCTGAAACACAAGCACACAACAGGTCAGAGCTGCAGAGCTGCAGAGCTGCAGAGCTGCAAAGCTGCAGAGCTGCAAAGCTGCAGAGCTGCAGAGCTGCAGAGCTGCATCCTGACTGAGTTCAGGACGCATCACAGTCGTCACAACATATTCAAAGGTTTGTTGACCCAACCACAAGCACAGACAACACACTCTGTAGAGTACAAGTATGACAAAGCAACAGCACTCACAACAACACATGACACCATGAACACCTGAACATTCCTCACACACTGTTAACACGACTTGCTTTTTGCGTTGCTTTCTTCCATTCAAATAAAACCCAACATGCTCACACTCCAGGTGGACTCTCCATCAGGTTTAGCTGTAATTTGTGAAGCTAATGTTAATATTTAGGTCAAGTCAGGTCACAGGTGGCTGCTAGCACGGCTCTACACTCTACCACCCTCTGAACATGTGACATATGTGGACTATTTGCACTGGATGTGAAACACAGTGTGTGTTCTTACAGCATAACATCATGTCTTTAGGAAACACTTTCAGGATCAGGATGTTCTGCAAAAATGGCTTCTGGTGTTTGGAACAGGAATGCAAAACCTTTGGACAGTTTCTTAC